TAATTAATTAATTGACACCCCCATGCCCCATCCAATAGTACGTCAGCGGCTCACTGATCTTTCGATAATTCCCAACTACGCAATTGGTTGATATGGTTGAAAAAGTCTTGATACTTATCCTAACTAATCATAACCCTTTTACAGTAATCAAATGGTTTATTGGAGAATAAAACTTTGGTCGACTAAAATATACTAAATAAGAAGAAAAAAAGTTAAGGATGTGTCAATGATACTCCAACCATTTAGCGTGTACATAGTACATATTAGCATCAAATTAGACTTTAATAAAGAAATTTGAAATTATTCACAGCTGGTATTTATTATTAAATAGACCAGAATTACAACTCTTCATACATTTTCATTTACACATATATGACTACACATATATGACCTTCGTATAGTGATGGCAATTCAGACCAATCCCGATGGATATTCCCCGTCCAGCCCTGTAATGGTGCGAGTAAAACTCGACCTGTGCTAGAACGGGACGGGTCTTGATTCGACATGCATATAGAGCAGGGAGGGCATGAGTATAGTCGTCGCCCAACCCCGTTTAAGAAATGTGTATTTTTGTAGTGACTCAATTTTTCTAACCTTGTAGTTGCATTTTGCCTTCCTTTCCTTGGCCGACATCATCGTATCTTCAATTAAGCCACTGATTTGATATGTTTTGGGAAAGGGGAGAACAAGAACCATCGTTGAGAGCGATGGGATGGTGGTAGCTCGCAACTCTGACAACTGCACTAGTTGCTCAACATCGCTAAACAGTAGGGCTGGCTATTTGATCCCGGATTGTTTGGTTTTACCCGAAACTGGACCGTATAACCCGGACCGGGACCGGATAGCAAACAATCCAATCTCATATTCGGGCTTATATTTGAGGTAAAAAATCCGGATAAAGACCGGATAAGAGACCCCCAACACCTAAAATCAAGATCAAATTGGGACCGGACCGAATCAAGACCGGACTGTATCCAATCCAATCTTTGGTCCTTATATTCCCAAAAAAACCGGACTGGGATCGGATCAATTTGGTCCAATTTAACCGGACCGTATAGCCACCCCTACTAAACAGGGCAGTGCGGGTTTTACCCACCACGCTGGGCGAAGCTTGGAACAAAATCAATTGACCCATCACGGGGCAGGGGCAGGGTGAGTCGTGTACATGAAGAGCCAGACAGGGTGTAGGTTTAGTGGTACCCACCCGGAATCACCTCGTTGCAATCACTATATTAGTACCTTTTCTGAAAATTAACATCATTTTCAAATAAATAGGATGAATAACCTATAGTTTTCACAGTATGGATGTGTATACCATAGACGGTCTGCGTAAGAAAATAATCCGAGAGGCGGCTTATCAATCAGGGAAAGTGTGAGGTCAAAGGTCACATGGCCGATTGGTGAATCCTTGTTGGGCGCTCGTTCTTGATATGTGAAATCCTGAATTCGACCCCCTTCGAGGGGCCCTTTCGTGATGTATCTCGGCTAGGGCTGGCATTTCGGTTTGCGGTTAACGGGTAACCGCCGGTTTTAACCGAAAACCGCCGGTTACCAGCTAACCGAAAACCGACCGGTTACCTTGACGGTCGGTGGTCGGATGGCAAAAGGAAGGAGTCGGTTGACCGAGTAACCGACGGTAATTAACCGCGGTTATCCGACTAACCGGGCCAACCGAGACCCACTTAACCTTCCCCAAATTATGTCCAGATTCATCTCCATTCCCACATCTTAAATCAAAAAAAAATTCACAAATACAGGAAGAAGAAGAAGAAGCATATCTACACTGCCGCCGTTCGTCATCGTAATCACCGCCATACTGCCGCCTCCCAGCTCCACCAGCACCCCACGACCCGCCATCGTTGAAATCATCACGGCCCCTTCCGGGAAGAGGGAAGTTCTGGGCTTCACGGTGACGGAATCGCGGAGACTCGGGAAGCTCTAGGCCGCCGAGATCGAGCGCGAGGAAGAGGAAATGGAAGCCGCCGTAGCAGCCTCATCCGTCGCCGCACCGGCCTCATCTTCTGGGTAAGACGAGGGAGAGTGAGAAAGAACAGAGAGAGGGAGAGAGAGAGAGAGGCCGAGTTCCACCGCTGTTCCCATCGCCGTCAACGGAGAGGCAGAGGGAATGGCGATTGAGGGAGAGGGCAGAACGAGAGAGGTGAGGGATGAGGCGATTTCGGCTTGGCGGGCAAGGGTTTGTCGGCGGGTTTCTCTGGAAAGGAAGAAGAAGAATCGAGAGAGTAGGGAGAGAGTAGAGAGAGCAAAGGTTAGCGCCTTAGCGGCGGGTTTCTCTGGAAAGGAGATTTTGATTTTAGTGCGAAGAGGTCTGGTGGAGTGGAGGAAGGAAGGAGAGAGGAGGAGATAAGGAAGGAGTGGTGGAGATTTTTTTGTTTTATTTAATTAATTTTTTGTTGTTGTGGAAAATGTAGTTTTTTCGGTTGGTCGCCTAGCCGAGTCTAAAACCGGAACCGACCGGTCAGTTGGGCGGCTAACCATGACCTCTCTTCGGTTGGCAGCTATAGAAGGTGGATCGGTTTAACCGATAACCGGGTTTTTGGTTAAACCGAAACCGACTGACTGCCACCCCTAATCTCGGCCGCGCTAATGAAAATATTAGTGGAGGACCCAAAGGGATCAGGTAGGTGAACCTCCAAATTTGATCTTGCTCTACAATTGCTCAAGCAGTGTGTGGAGACTAGAGATGTTCCTGAATTATATAAAAAAAAGGGTTAATATTTTCGTATGGCCTGAACTTTGACCAAAATAAACATCCTGGCCCGAACTATACACCAAAATAAACAATTTGGCCAAACCCGATGTTTGACCGTTAACTTGAACGGTCAAACGCGTTGACTAACGGTCAACGCGCCACGTCACTGCCAAGTCAGAAGATCTGATAAATTTTTATTTTTTTGTTTTTTATTTTTGGTTTAACTAAGGTATTAGATGATATTTTTAATTTATAATAATTTAAAATTAGGGAATGTGTGGAAATTGTGAATTATTTTAAATATTTTATGCTGACTTGGCAATGACATGACGCGTTGACTAACGGTCAACGCGTTTGACCGTCCAAGTTAACGGTCAAAAGTCGAGTTTGGCCAAATTGTTTATTTTGGTGTATAGTTCGCGACAGGATGTTATAGATCGAAAAGATTGGTCAGGATGTTTATTTTAGTCAAAGTTCAGGCCATACGAAAATATAAAAAAAAAGCGTGAGTAGGATAGTTGATTGAATGAAGTGAATTGGGTTGGTTCAGTAGGCATGTGGATGATTATGAAAAGGCCCGACCCGTGACAATTGCTTAGAATAGACCCGTGTAGTGTAGTAAGGAATGTCAAAAAGTGAAGCCAGTTGCAGAATTCCACTCCTTTTCTTCATGTCCCAAATATAATGCTATTACCCGAATCGATCCAAGATCCCTTTTCCCCCAACTCGACAACTCATGACTCATGCTCCCCTGTAATTTATGTAACATAGCAATATGGAGGAAAACATTATATAGGTAAAAACAAAACCTAACCAGGGTGTGATCTAAGCTGGTGTAAATGTGGGTTTGCGAACATCCATTATATTTTGGTTCGATTTTTTAGATTAATAACCAACGAAAAAATTAGGGTGTCTTGATTTGGGTGTTTTTCTCAAATTTTAGGAACATAATTCTTTTTTTGTCGATAGGAAAAACTGGGAACGAATTCGTTTGATAGAATATTTCAAAAGAGAATACTATAACTTTTCTTACGAGAAGAAATACATCACATAAAAAATAAATTTTATCTTGTATTCAAATTCATAAGAAGAATTTAGATGTGTCCACAACAAATTAACCATTGACCACCATGAAGATAACACAAACGTGACTATTGCAAAAGCTCAAATGCAGGACCTTCTATATCTAATTTGTGAAATTCTAAATTCCACCGACCCGTGGTGATTAGAAAGATGAAGATGGATAGTCATTTACGAGAAATAATTTTTGCCAGTGGAAAGAAAAATTAGCTAATATATTAAGAAAATTAGTTGCTCACAATATTATTGAAATGAATTGATTTTATAAATTATTATTTTTAGTCTAAATTTAAGAATATATTCCAATTTTAATTTTTAAGTGCGTTAATTTGGAAATATGAAATTTTCTTTAAGTTTCACTTTTACTATTAGTTTAAAGCTTTAAAGTGAATGATGCGTTTGTTCTGATTTTTCCCCTTTTCCAATTTAAATTTTAATTAGGAACAATAAGTTACAAGAAGCATAACGCATACAGTTCTTAAAAGCAATTAAGAAGATGATGTATCTCTCAAAATCAAACAATTTCCAAATACAATATTATACCTCTTAAAAGCTAGCAATTCACTATTCAAAAGAACTTGAAAGATAAACCAAAATGATTTACAATGATTCTTTGCACGAGAAGCAATACTTATAGACTCGACTCGTATCACAATAAAATTAAACTTTAACGGCTAACCTCAACCCACTTAACTACCGAGAATAATAAATAAAAATGCACCAAAAGTGCCAAAATGAACCCAACATCATAAGAGCTGAACCTAACGAAATTGGGCATTTTCCCCATAAAAATGATTGTGTGGTGCCATTTATCACCTTGTCCTATAGGCTTATAGAACTTGTTCATACTCATTAACCGTAAAATGCTGGCCTAATGATGTTATTATTATTATTATAATGGAGATCATGTGAGGATTCAAATACCATAATATGAAATGAATTTCTTCCTCAAATACTCTGATTTAGTAAATACTCCAATTCCATAAACACCTTTATCTCTCCCAAGTAGAAAGTTCTTAAAAACATTTATCACCAAAATCCGGAAGAAATACTAATAAACTGGAAAATGAAAACGACCATCGTCTTCACTTCCCCAATAATGCCATGTGAACCCACGTAGTCCCTACACAAAACAAAAAAAAGACCCCCTTTCTTCCCTCCGCTCTGTATATAAGAAAACCAGAGGCCCTCCTTCCTCCTTCCATTCACAGGACAGGGCAACCCCCCTCCATTTCTTACTTACTTAAAATTACCCCAAAAAGCTCCCTCATTTTCCACCCCCCTGCAATTTCCCCAATACCCACCAATCCATATTATTGAATACATTGGTGATGATGGAGGCTGCAGGTCGTCGTGGTACAAAGTACAGAAGCCAGCAGGTGGCGCCAGTTTTGTCCTCCTCCTCCTCCACCTCCCTCATTGTCATTACCATCTTCTTCTTCTCCTCTCTGTTTCTCGCCACAGCCGAGTCCTCGTCACCACACCACAGCAGCATCAGCGACAACAACAACCACCTCGACGATGTTCGGTACAATGTGACGAGACTGAAAGGGAGGAAGCAGACCAGCGGCGGCTGCAATTTGTTCCAGGGGAGATGGGTCGCCGACAGCTCCTACCCTCTCTACGACTCGGCGGCCTGCCCTTTCGTGGACGACGAGTTCGATTGCCAGAAGTTCGGCCGCCCTGATACCCAGTACCTCAAGTACTCTTGGCAGCCCGACTCCTGTAACTTGCCCAGGTAAATTGAAACACTTACTTACTTACTTACTTACTTACTTACTACTATTTAATTGAATCGCACAAGGGGTTGGTTGGTCTAGTGGTAACGTGGGAAGGAAAGTGCAGGTTCGATGGCGGGGATTTCCTGGAGAGGTGGAGGGGGAAGAAGCTGATGTTCGTGGGTGACTCGCTGAGCCTCAACATGTGGGAATCGCTGTCTTGCATGATTCATGCCTCGCTGCCTAATGCGAGGACCAAATACGTCAGGGGGACGCTCGCTTATGTCAATTTTGTGGTGAGTTAGTTTTACTGCAATCCCTCTTCTCCTCTGCTCTGCTCTGCTCTGTATTTTGCTTCCTTCTTTGCTCATCTTCTTTTCTATGCTTTGCTTTATTTTGAAACTAAAATTGGGGTGAAAATTGGAAGAACAAGGAAGGGAAAGTAGGGTGAGTAAAACATATATATAATAATACGTAAATAATGGGTACAGCTCCCGTGCCGTGCCGTCGGTGTTGATTTGTCTGTGTGGAGTGGTGGTGTATTTCATAATGTTTCGTGGTTTGGCTTTTTGTTGGACCCTGCCTGCTGCTGCTGGTGCTGGTGCTGGGAATGATTTATTCGGTTCCTGGCCATGGCCCTGCTTTTAAGGCACGGAAGAGAAGGCCCGGCTCTCTCTCTGTCTGTGTATTCTTTTCCTGCTTCCAAAGAAGCCTCCACTTTTCTTTATTTTACTAATTCTTCTTCTACTAGCATCCAAAACCCAATTCACAGAATTCCATACCGTTTTCTTATCCATGTGATCTTCGCTGATTTTCATTTGAACCCATTCTGAGCATTTGTATGTATCATTGTAATTCGAATTTAGAATGGTCATGTGAGAACCAGTTTCGTCGTCCCGTAGCAGGAGAGGCTTTTTCACTTTCGAATGGCGTTTCATTTCAATTTGCCGTAGCCAACTTGGGCTGCCTGCTGCTTTTTCCTTGCAAAATCAATCATTCAATCAACTCATGTTCCTTCTGCCCACATGAGAGAACAGACTAGTTATCCATTCCAATTTCATAACCACCCGAAATTTTGGTTGGTCAGATTAGTTGGCAACAGACCCTACTCCTACTGCCACTAAAGGTACAGGGCGGCTGAGGTCCAACTAGTTAGTAGGGAATTGATCAAATTTTCATTAATTAATCCACCCATTATTTTGTTCAGACAGCTGTTTTATTATTGTTTGAAAACCTATGACAGCGGTCTAATTATGTTGCGCATTAAGCACATGAACCAGTCTGATCCAACACTGATTGCTTGGCTTTTAGTGAAACCTTCTGTTCTTCTCGTGACAGTAGAAAAGTCTTGATATTTTGCATAATTTACCTGTTCTTAATCATGGTGGTACTAGATCACTACTCGAATGGCGACCTGTTGCCATGTCGGACTGATTAGTGATTACTACCTCTAAAACTATGCTAAGAGGGTAAGTGATTTGCATAATCTTAAGCGCCTGTGTATGTGGTGACAATTTTGTAAACGATGTTCGCGCCTGTCTGAGAACAAGCAGACCGTATATGTTGTGACAATCAGAATTTGCATTTTCTAAGCAAGAAGTTGGCCGTGTCAATCCATGTGCTTGCAGGATTACGGGGTGACACTGTACATGTACCGAACGCCGTACTTGGTAGACATAATCCAAGAAAACGTTGGAAGGGTTCTGACTTTGGATTCCATTAGAGCTGGGAATGCATGGAAAGGGATGGACGTGCTCGTCTTCAACTCCTGGCATTGGTGGACTCACACCGGCGCCAAATCTCAAGGGTAAAACAATATCAGCTTGCTCAAATCCCAGCCTCCATTTCTTGCTTGTAATGTAAAGATATACCTTCTCTTAACGGCTGTAACAATGCAGGTGGGACTACATCAGAGACGGATCCTCGCTATCCAAAGACATGAACAGGCTAGAAGCATTCAACAAAGGTTTGAATACATGGGCGAGATGGGTGGACAACAATGTCGACCCTGCCAAGACCAAGGTCTTCTTCCAAGGGATCTCCCCCACCCATTATCAGTAAGCTTATATTCATTCCTAGCAGTGCCTCTATCTTTCGGCTTCTGCGTTTCAAGTTAGGAGGGGACTTACTTGCTGATGATGTCTTGTGAAATCCAGAGGCCAGGAGTGGAATCAACCAAAGAGGACTTGTAGTGGAGAAGCAGAGCCCTTATCCGGGTCAATTTATCCCGCCGGTTCACCTCCAGCTGCTGCAATTGTGAACAAAGTGTTGATGACAATGAAGAAACAAGTGTATCTACTAGACATAACGACTTTGTCGCAGTTGAGGAAAGATGCTCACCCTGCTGCTTATGGCGGTGGTGGAGGCACAGATTGCAGCCACTGGTGCTTGCCTGGACTGCCTGATACCTGGAACCAGCTCCTTTATGCAGCTCTCATCATGTGATCATAAACACAACAATAGAACTTAGGCTTCTCCTAATAGTTTTTGGTTTGCCTTCATCATTCATCTCTCCACCGTCGCATATCCCTCGTACTAAGCATACGGGGTTGCGTCAATAAGGAGTATAGTTTGATTTGCAAAGTGATTGGTTTCCTAAAGACAATAATTTGTCAATAGATAGGTAATGATTGAAAAGTGCTGATAACATCTGTAATCACATAAGTGATAATGGTTAGAAGTGAGAATTGAAAGTATGTAAAAGATGATGTTTGGTTGTAATGTGTCATATACCTTGCCTGAAGGCCACAGGGAGACTGCAGTAAGATCTAATAAGTTTGTCCCAAAGTGTTATATAATAGCAATGCATTCTCAATAACATTCTTCTCAGCTATCAATTCGTCAAATTGACTACCATTAGTAGATAATAGAAGGCTAAAGGTTCCAATTCAGCAGTCCTAATGTAGTTCTTAAGGAACTAAATTAATGGGTCATCTAACGAGAGAACCAATATAATCATAGTGCATAGAAAAATCGTTAAAACTGATGAAACCGACAAGAGAGAATACAGCACATAAGAATACAAGCAGGAACAGACTACAGATGATCCAAGCTAGTCTTCGGAAAAGCTGATAGAAGTTGGGGTATTTTACAAGAAAACTAAACCAGGTCAACAACAAGAGGATGCTAACCTCGAAGAAACCTTGGAAAGGGAAAGGAAAAACTAGTAGCCAACATAAACAGCAGCATTCACAATGTAGCAGTCATCATTCTTATCACCCATTTCTTCTACATGTACACCACTTGAGCATATCAGTCCACCATCAACGACTTCAACATTCACAATCTTCCCACTGCAATTTTAAACACGGGAAAACTTATAAGAATAACAGAAGCAGGAATACTCTCTATACCCTCTTGACTACTCATATAGCTCTATCATTAAATCCAAGCTATCAGGGCAGCACAAAGTTCCTCGGGAAAGCTCAAACAAGTTCAGCTCTGATCTCCTGATATAAAATCAAGCATGGTGTCCCGAATTGACTATAGCTTCAAATTGGCCTTGATTTTGTCGACACAAGTACATAGCTTTGGAGAGAGAACCCAAACGGAATTGTTTAGGGGATGGAAAGAAACTGGACTAGAAATACATCAAATGAACCTACAGGCTACAACGCAAAATCATGCTGGCCTATGTATATATGGGAATGGCTACTTACTATGGGAACACGGATTTCACCCGCTCTATATCCACGTACTGCTGCAGAGAATGTGGGACTCCCAGTTTGATCTGTAGTTTCATTTGCTCAAATGAGACTCCAGGAATAGACCCTAAAACCAAATTCCGCCATGGATTATAAAGTGATACGATTGTGATAGAATGGTTAGATAGACAAACCAAAAAGCAAACAATAACATCAAACCCATAAGACCATAACTCAACCCAAAATCACGGATTGAAGACTCTCCATTCTGCTACAACAGAAACAAAGTGCCCCCGCAAAACCAAAATCGGCCCTAATTGAGATGAGAAACCATGCATACCTCTACGGAAAGCAGGAATCGAATTGGAAGAGATAGCGTCCCTGCAAGCGCGCGTCGCCGCAGCATTTATATCCTGGCTGCAATTCACAGTTTCAGGCCGCGATCAATTTGACATCACTCGGCGCAATTTCTAACAACCTAACGCAACCGTTCTTTCCAGGGAAAAGAAAATGACAAACAGAGAAGGGAAGAAATGGAGAAAAGGGTACCCGTGTTGGTCGTAGCCGACTCCCATCTCCACGAACAGTAGCTTCATGATTCCATCGGGGTTGTCGACGGCGCTTCCGCTTTGCTCGGCGGCCATGGGAGTTGCTGCTGTTCTCAGCCGAGGAGGAATTGGTGAACGAGGTGAGGGTTTTGGGAGGGAGGTAAAAGCAGGGCAGTTGATTGGATTGGATGGAAGGAATTTCGGAGTGATGGCCGGCCGAAGATCAACGGAGGTGGAAGAAGAAAGAACAGAGAGATTTAGGACCGATGGGGTCGATGTAGTCATTTGGAATAATTTGTTCAGCAGCTGCAACTCATTCAAGCTTGCTTCGAGTTTTTACCATAATCAGAGATTTACGGTTTTCGAATGGACTTTTCCTTTACCTTTTCAGTTGTCGCGTGGAATTTTTCCTTAAAAATAGCCCATCCTGGCAGCCCGGCTAAAGCAGAAAGGTTTGGGCTTTAGGGATCCATTAAAGTGCAACTAGACCTAGCCCGAACTCCTAGCTAGTTTGGCCAATTGGCCCAAATTCCAGGATAGAGGGTGGGAGCGGATCTCGCTGGAGTTTTGGTCTCCATATGGTGGCGACGGTGGGAACGGTCTGCAGGATGATAGGATCCACGGTGATCATCTCAGTCGTGGCGGGTAGGATGGCAATGAGTCGGGTTGACTCGAATTTTGTCAAAACAAACTCAAATTCATGGGTTTATTCGTCAAGAAAAAAAATTCAGGGTAAAATTTACTGGGTTTGGAAAACTCAATTCCAACCCAACCCGCTGGGTATTGTCACGAGACGAGACTTCTGAAGTCCGTGTGGCGTCTTGAGTTGCACGCAACCCTTAAGACCAGCCTCTCCACATACGCAGGTCAACTGGTTTCGCTCTACCTTGTGCTCATCAGGGAGGCGGCAATAACCCCTGACCAGTTGTGCCTTCGCTTGCAACGATCCCCGTCACAGTCACATCCTGACTAGGCCAGAACGATGCACAAGCAGACAACGCCTTAACGCTACAGTCACCCTCTTTACCGCTCTCGTGGCAAGACAACCATATGGCAGCATTCTACAGACGGTCGTCACCGTCACGACATTCCGAGTAGTGACATTCTCCACCACTCATAATACAACACATCCTCATACTGGTGAAGAATGCTTCTCTCCGCAACATGTATTGCAACACTCGAACCGATCGTGGGCCTTCACATACGGTACCATCCTCTGATGGACAGGCTCCATTCGCATCTCCCGCGCAAGCCTGCTGTAACACCCCACCCAAAATCTCTGTGGTTGAACCCATGGTTCAACCGCGCAGCCAAATCCTCGGTGTTACTGGTTGAAGTCAATCATCTCAAATATCATGTCCGACAATTAAACAAACACATAAATCGTTATCATACAAATTCATTATTCGAAGCCCAACCCACTTATAGAATTTTACAAAACGTGGGTTTATTATTCAAAACACTCAAATCAGAAATCCTAGGTGACCATGACAGAACAGTGTTCCAAACTACCTCATGATGGTAGTACATGAGGATAGGGAAGCCTCAATAGTCCAATCCTAGTTGCACCTGCGAGCCTGAAAACAGACGTGGGTCAGTAACTAAGCTGTGTGTGTAGATCTTTCCCACGACCTAATTTTGGGAGGGCAATCAGCTAATCAGTCATAATCAATCGTAATTTAGTACTCTAGATGCTATCCTAAATCATCATATATAAATTATAGGTCAATATATCGAATCCACCAACTCATCATCACCAAATCAATTTATCCAATAAGATAATCACATAATTTTACGAACACATAATCAATGCATGATATGAAAATTCCGTGTAATTATTAATGGTGCCAAGGTCACCATACACTTACCCCCGCTCGAGCAAATCATCATCCCTGGTGCTCATGCAACCACAACACTCAATCCGTGGTTTTCAACCACAACACTCATTCGTGGTGCTCATGCAACCAAAACAATCAATCGCATGAGCGAGCTAAATCTACCCACTCTATGAGTGAGGGTAAGTGCAGGCCCTTTCCACATCTATGTGAATTAATATGATCATGAATAAAACCATTTCCAATTTCTCATCCATCACAAGCAATCCGGTATCAATGTAGTCTCACTGATTAGCCGGTCCATATATATATTTCCCTTCGATTATCAACTCGACGTTTCCAACAATCAAATATCCCATCATCCAATATCAAATCACATAAATCATCTCATTCTCCATTAAAGTTACTCAGCTATACCATATCACAACGCCTCATCAAAAATCATCAACAATTTCACGAAATAACCTCGATGCAAATAATTGTATGGGTCGTTTGGATGGGTTAATTGTTAATGTGGTATTTGTAGAGTCAAATAACTCATTTATTCTTCATGTGGTATTTCAGTGTTATTTCAATGGTAATTGAAATAAAGTATCTCGTTTGGTGGAACCATGCAAATGTGGTATTTGACATGTGGTGTTTGGTAAAAGCAGAGTGATAAAACGAGTTATTTCGAAATAACACATGGGTATAAGTTATTTCAAATAACTCGTTTTGAGTTATTTATAAATAACTCACTGTACAAATAACTCATTTCAGTAAAACGCTGCCAAACTAGTTATTTGCGTCCAAATAACTCATTGTGAGTTATTTGAACCCAAATAACTCATACAAATACTCCATCCAAACGACCCCGTAAATAACCCAATTGTGATTAAAAATATTTTTAACTCTAAGTCCATTTCCCTTCATTAAAATCATTACAAAATTCTAGTAAATGGACTGATTGACAAAAGAATCCATTTAATCCCTTTCTGATAAATAAAACACGTTTTTACCGATTTTTTCGTAAAATTCACCGTTATGTAGTTTTAATTCGGAAACTATTTTCAAGTGAAATCTTCTGATAAATCTGCCCCAACATTATTTTAGACAAACTAAAATTTCTTTGATCAGTTTCAAACTCAATAAACCCAGCTCGTAACTGGCTCGTATCGATCAACACATGAGGTACTAGGTCGACATACGTTGAGCATAAGCTTCAACTAGCTAGGGGTACTTCTTCTTCATACTCTCCTCGGTTTCCCTGGTTGCAACCTCCTCCTCCTGTTTATCCCAGATAACCTTGAGCATTGGGATTTGCTTGCTTCTTAGCACACGTGCCTGATGATCCACAATGCTTACAGGTTTTTCTTCATAGGTCAAATCTGGCTCCAATTCCACCCTTTCGGGTTGTATCACATGAGATGGATCGATATGATACTTTTTCAACATACTCACGTGGAATACGTTGTGAATTTTCTCAAATTCACGGGGTAATGCGTGCTCATATGCCACAGGTCCTACTTTGGAGATAACATTGTAAGGACCAATGTAACAAGGCGCTAATTTACCCTTTCTTCCAAACCTCATCAATCATTTCCATGGTGATACCTTTAAGAACACCTTCTCTCCCATATCATAGCTAACTTCTCGAGCCTTCTTATCGACATATAACTTTTGGCGATCTTGGGCTACCCGCAATCTCTCTTTGATCACCTTCTCCTCCGTATCTTGGACCATTTACAGTCCGGTAAGAACCCGAGTACCCTCAACATCCCAACATAGTGGGGTACGAAATTTCCTTCCATACAAAGCTTCAAATGGTGCCTCTTGTAAACTGCTATGGTATGAGTTGTTATAGGCAA